CTCAATATTTCATGTTTATTATTTTAAGATTCACATTATTTTTTAAATTAACTTGCTAGTATCACATTTCATTCTTCTTATTAAAAAATCTCGTAATAAATTCTTAATTTTCCTTTTTAGAAATTCAAGAAATCTTTATTGCATAAATTTTTTTGTTTAAGATTATATATTATTTCATTAACGTTGTTGTGGTTCCTTTTAATGAAAATTGAAATATAATTAATATCAAAAAGATAACATTACTCTTAAATTCCCTTCTTAGCTTGAGAGATAGCAAACGATATTAAAGATAGCGACTCTTTCTCAACTCTGAGCCGAAATTAAGATTATAAGTGTCAAAACTATCTATAATTTATCCAAATTTAAAAAATATTAAATTCATCAAAATCCATCAATTAAAACTAGTGACTGTAATCCAATATATAACTTTAGTAATATATGAATTTGAATTCATCCATTATATTTAATGAATATTCATGGATATATTCATTTGGATGGATATTCAATCCATCCAAAAAAACAAACATTTAAAAATGGTTCTCTTTCATTTTCAATTTCATTCATTATCTCAACTATCACTTTCTTGTAGTATTTCTCACTCTCACTTTGTATTTTTTATTTCTCAATCTCACTTTGAATTTTTGTGAAATTGAAATCAATTACAAGACATGTGGATGTAGTTAGTATTAAATATTTATTCTTAAGTACATAACATATATAAATATTTGTTAAAACTTTTACACATAAAACTTTAAACGTCACATGCTTGTAGAAAATTCTCATATTTAACAAAAAGTGAACAACACCACTTTTAAAAAAGTCAAAAACACTTTTAGAAAATTGATTTTTAAAGGTGTTTTTTTTAAATGTGATTTTAAAAATAATTATTTAAATAATAGTTTTTAAAAGAATGATTTTCTATAGTGTTTTTAGTTTCATTAAAAAAATCAAATGAATTGGATTGAATATACATACATCCAAATTCATGAAAATGAAATCATATATGGATTGGAATCCATCAATTAATTTTAGATATGGCTAAATTAGATAACTTAAAACATAGTTTAAATAGTTTTATATGGATTGGTATATGACTTTTCATCCACCCATTAGGATCAAAATTGGTTCATTTGTCCTCCATAATTAATATATGACACGAGCTATGATCTTCTATTAAAATCTCAAATTAATTTTATTAGTATAATTAAAAACATTTATATTAATGTTCATTTTTAATTACTTAAAGTAAATTATTGGAGAATAGACAATATTTGTAATGAATCACCTATCCACTTTGAGAGATGATAGAAAGAGAATTAATGACAACAATCGCTTTTTAATATGGGACAGAAAGTAAGATATAATAGTAGTTGTGATATTACCAATATTTCTCTTAAACACTTTAAAATAACAAATGTAAGTCATTTTTAATTTTTATTTAATTATTAAAAACATGTTAGAATATACTTATTGGGACAAAAAATAAATTTTAATAATATAAAAATAAAAAATAATAGTATAATAGAAATTCAATTATTAAATAGTATACATATATTAATAATATATTAAAATATATTTAATTATTATAATAATAATAAGTTATTAATTATTACATAATAATAGAAATAATAGTAAATAAAATCATGTATAAAAAGGGAAAGGAGATTTATATTGGTCTGAGACAGAAGAGGACAAATATTTTTAAGAATGCTTAAAGCTAAATGTTTTAAAAAACATTTTGTAGTAAAGTGTAAGAGTGCAAAGAACTTAGTTCATCCAATGAGTGTAGTGCGTCCAAAGACTGATTGATATATCTTATATCAATGAATAGTGTCTCATTTGGTGTCCCAAATGGTGTGCCGAGCCAATCACATTGTCTTATTTAATTAAAATAAAAAATTATAAAAATATAAAATAATATTTTATATTATTTAGTAAATTTTTATTGGATGGGGACAGGGGAACGAGGTCCATTTGAAACATAGGATCCCTATCTCATATCAATTGCATCAAAGAGACAAATGCATTGAATGGAGATCACATATCCCCAAAATGGTGTCTCAATGTGTGATCCTTATTCAAATGTATCCAATGTCCAACAAGTCCAAGACTCTAATTATTGTACTCATACTAGTCTTTATGTATATCATTTTTATAATAATTTGACTTTTTATTTTAAATAATTGGTATTTACTTCATAACACTAATTATTATTAAATTAAATACTATGTCTCTAGAAAGAGTAACTTGTTACTTTTGTTCATACAAAATTTTACTCCAACATCTTTGTACCAAAGGAGGCCGAATTCCACACACAAAATGAAAAATCAGAAAACAAATTTATACTATGTAAAGTTATACTTCTTTAATTAAATAACATAGAGAACTTTTCATAACATTAAGGGATGACAAAAACATTTGATATGGGCTACGCATGAAAATACATGTAATGAGTACCACAAAAAAACTTATGGATGAGAATGGATATTGTGATTCTCGTCTTATAGATATCCGCGTATTTATGAACTTAGTTTTTAATTTAACATTTTATATATTATATATTTTTATTTATTATTTTAATATTATATTTTGTCCACTTTATTTTTATTTCATAATATATATATAATATTATTCAAGTAATAATTATTTTAATATATTGATTATTATAAAATATATAAATATATAATTAAAATTCAATTAATAATTCTTTTTCCATTATCCACTTTTAATTATATTAAAGAAAAGAAGGACAGAATGATGCATTCACGTGTTACATATAGGCAACACTAACAATTATGTCCTATATATTATATGATACAAATTCATATACCATACTTAACCATTTAAAGCCAAACTAGTTAACAATTTATAATCAAACACTACATATAAAATATGTATCTAGTTGTAATTCTTGAATTTTCAAAGTTGTTCTTCAAAATTAAGAAGACTCTACGCGTATATTCACACCGAGACCAACATTTGTTATCAACTATTTTGAACGAATGGAGGAGAAATATAACACTCTAAAATTAAGAATATATTATTCACAAAACTCTTTTATATATATTGTGTAGGAAGAAAATATGGTATAAAGAACAAAATAATCTCTCTCGGGTTGCTTTTTGTTGTTTACACACACAACCCTTTCTTTCTTTTTATGTGACCCTTTCTTTCTTATTAACATATTCATATAAACACATATTATATATATATATATTGGAGGTTGCAGTTATCTCCATCATTTTGAACGGGGACCTCTTCATTTAGGTGCTAGCACAAACTTAAAATAATATTTCATAAAATTATTTATTTGATCAAATTAAATTCTCCAATTTAATTATCAAATAATATAATTATTTATTAAATATTAGAATACTCATTGTTGATAATTTTCAAGAACCACTAGAAGATTAATGAGTCATATATAATTAAAATTCTGAAAAGTATGGTACAATTAGAATATTCAATTCATCTTTACATCTCTAACTAACTTTAAAGTATGGTATAATTGTCAAACTTTAATAAGTTGTCATAATGACTCAAAGAAACTCATTTATTTATTCATTGTAATACTTTGGCTAATGTCTTCTTTTATTGTAGAGCTCAAACTCATTACTAAGAGTTGATGGATTCCTTCTTGATTAATCATTCATTCAACATGCATTTAATCTTATCCAATATTCATTCAAATAATGTCCTAAGAAATTATATATCCGAAATCAAAGTATAATAAATAACATGTTAATTACTATGTTAATCATTTCTTCTTCTTGAGAACTTCCTATTAATCAAATAATGTCAAATGAAATTATTTCATTTCTTCTTGAGAATTTCCTATTGACAGTTTAAGATAATTATAACCATTATGAATTTTAAGTTGAGTGAGTTCAATGATCATATCTACATATGCATCATCTATATGTGCAACTTAATAATGAGATCTATTAATATTTTTCCAATAAATATTATTGCACATATATTGATATATTTGATTCATTGATGTCCTATTGTCAATGATTCTATGATCAAGAACAAGTTAGACTTAAAATTATAAAAAAACATGATTCTCATTATTATAATTTCTATTATAATAACAAGTCTCTAATTTTTAACCAATAATCTTATTATATAATATATTTAATTAAATAACTAATATGATATAAAAAATATAATTACTTTGATTGTACTTAATGAGAAATTGGGTCTTCCACATAAATGTAAAAGTATACAAATATATTTCCAACATGCCTCCTTATTTATTGCTTTTGGTATTGTGTTATTATCAATATGACATGTGGTTTGTAGTGGTAGTTTAGAGGAGACCAATGGCTATGATGTTGAGGATTGTTTCAAACTAGGTTGTGTTGCAAAGGAGATGCAGAACAACATGATTCATGGTTAGTGTTTGCAGCACAATATAGATATAGATGTAAATACATAGGGGTAACATCAAAATAATAATGATTTTTAAAAACTTAACTACTCTAATTATCAAATGACACATGTGTAGAGAAATTAAATATGAATATTTATGTTTTAATTTTTATGAACAATAGATTGTGAAATATATAGTGTATATAATTGCCTAACCAAATAAACATATTAAAAAATTTGCATGTATCTATAGTAGAAATATTTTTTAACAAAATCATCTGGATTTCATGCTAATAAAAAGGAATCATTAATTTTAATATATTTGGTGGCTCTAATTATTAATGTACATGAGTTTATAGCAATTCTAAGTATGCTAAGCATTTTTGTTCAAATTTTCCAATGAGAGAATTTCAAATCAAATAAGTAATTGCCTATTAAAGAACAAAATTACAATTAATAAGTCATATATAATTAAAATTCTGAACAGAAATTTAATTTTTATAAATGTAAGATCATTACATTTAAAAGAGTCAAGCTTTAAATCTAATATATACTTTAGTCAATATGACATTTTTTTATCCCTTTACCTTATATAAAATAATAAAAATATTATTTAAATATGTCATTCGATTCAGTTGGTTTCTGAATCTCTAGAATTATGAACTAGACTAAATTTAAATGGTTCCTTTGAAAAGAATTAAACCTCAAAATTACATGATAAACGCTAGAAGGAGGGCTTGAACCTCCGACCTTGTGGTTAACAGCCACACGCTCTAACCAACTGAGCTATTCCAGCTGTCTTTGATTAAATATGTTGCAAATATATTACATTAACAACATAAATCTATTTATACATTTTGTAAATAAGTATAGTAATTTCAATCATTTATTAATTTAATGGTGTGAGTATATATTATTGGTAGAAGAGACAATCACAGACTTACAATAAATTAATTCATTACCTTTGAACCGATATGCCATTTATTATTGGCATTGTATAGCACAATTATCGAGTAATAGGATAGAGATAAATAAAAAAAAATTGGTTCGGATTAAGTTTTTAGTTGCAGTTTATAAACTGTGAGATTATAAACTGTTAGATTATAAACTGTTAAGATTATAATATGTTTATGTTTGTGTACCTTAGCTGAAAATTGAGTATAAACTAATCTGTTTTGTTTGGGTAAGATAGAAATTTTGTTTTTTACATAGTAAATTATAGAAAATGATATGGGGTTATTTGTTTATGTTATGATTATATTGGTTATTTTTACACTATTTTTTAAATATAAATTTTTTAATATTTATCATCATCTATTTTTACTTTAATTTTGTAATATTACATACCAAAGACTAAAAAATATATTAAAATCAAATACAATATAAAAACTAATATTAATATTAAAAAACAACATAAGATCAACATAAACAAATAAGCTCATACATAGTTAGACATAAACTAAAAAAATAAAGCAACTCATGATTTTTAATATTGCATAATAACAAAAGCTAAAAAATATATTAAAATAAAATATAATATAAAAATCAATATCAATATTAAAAACAATATAGCACATAAATAAATGGAAGTTACTAGACTTAAATTACATAATTCACAAAAATAAAATACATAAATGTTAAGTTTTATACAAAAGTTTTAGGGTTTATTGGGTTTATACATAATTCACAAAATTTTAATATTATATAACAAAATTTTATACATAATTCTTTGTTCGTGTATTGATAAAAGAAAGTGTTACGAAGAATTACGGGGTTTGGTGGTGAAAGGGAGAGATAGGAAAATTAGAGTTATGGAGTTTGGTGGTGATGTATAGAGTTATGGTGTTTGGTGGAAGGGGAGGGATCCACTTACTCCAAAAAACACTTACTCTTCATCTTAGTCATCCAATCTTGAAAAATTCAATGGCTTAGATGTACTCACCAATTCAAATCATTGAATTTCCCAAGAATGAATGGTCATGATGTGGAGTAAGTGTTTTTCCACTTACTCTTGGAGTAAGTGGATCCCTCCCCTTGGTGGAAAAGTAAAAAATGAGGAGAAAAATAAAGTTACGATGAAGCAAAATGGGAAATAGAAAAATTAAGAAAAAAATAATCTAAAAAAAATAAATCAACCCATGATTTTTGAGCTTATACTTTTGGCTTATTTTTTTAGAAAAAAACTATGTTTATAAACTTTATTTGGTTGCCAAACATGCATAGTTTATATTTTCAGCTTATTTTTCAAAAAATAAACATAAATTACTATTTTTAAACCATGCCAAACATGGGTTAGTTTATAGTATGGCCATTCGGATTTTAGTTTTTTTTATATAAAAAATGCTTTTAACTTAAAAATGTTTTGCATTTGCCAAAGTTAAAATATTTGCATTTGTTGTTTACCTAAAGTGTTAAAGTGGATAACGCGAAAGTCAACAAGACGAGGAGAAATTCATTGACTTCAACAAAAGTAAGTTTTATTCCACATTTTAGTTATTAATTTTAGAGAAATCCAATAGTTTTAATTAGTGATAGATATAAATCATTGGATTTCCCTAGAAATAATGACTAAGATGTGAAATAAATTTAAAAAACTTATTCTTAGAGTGAGTGAAGACATTAAAATTAAAGGTTAGCAAATTAGAACACATTTGGTCCATAAAAAATAAACAATAGAAATGTCATGTAACACAATTAAGGAGGATAATTGTAATTAAAAATAATAGTTATTATGTGTCGATCAAGGAACCCTGTAAATAAGGAATTAATACTATTTCTCATCAAAATTGCATCCACAATTGTTAATAAAATTTCATTTTCTTGATTTTAAATAATCTCATTATCAAAGAAACCAGTATAAAAAGTTTGACCTCATGTAATATATTTAATTCTTAAAATTGATGTTTCCCATACCCTTAATTAACATAATATATACCACAAGATCATATTCGAATTTGGGAGTTCTAACTTTTTTACCTTTTCTATTTTTATATAAAGGAGTTTTTTTTAAACATATAGAAACAAAGTACATATACTTTATTTTCTTGTCTCATTTTAATATGCAATTAGATTTTGTTTTCTTTTGTCAGATGTATCAATATATTAATAAAAGTGATTGTTTCACCATAAAATTGTTAAGTTGATTTGAAATTAATACTATTCCGTCTTTGTTACTTATTAAAGTATTTTTATGCAACATGGTTCATCTTTTTATTTGCCTTTTGATGTGTTTATACTTTGTAATATCTTTCAATACTTGATCTATAATTACAGGCTATAATTGTTATAATAGTAGTGGTAATTATGTGATGATGATAATACAACAATAGTATAAGTATTATCTTATCATTACTCATCTTAACTCTCTTCAAACATACTAGTACTAGTAATCTCCAACAACAGGTACAAAATACAACACATTTTTTCCTTCAGAGGGAAATCAACTTTGTAATGTTCCAGATATTCCTAAAAAAATTGTTCCATCATAGTTTCTTTTCATCACTAGAGTATTCAACTTCAGCATTCTTCAATGCTTTCAACTTTCTGTACCCTATATCAGTTCCAAATATCCTATATAATGATGGACAACAAACACCCTTGTCAATACAACAAGCAAAGCATTCAAGCCACAACATACAATGTGAAAGACTTACCGGTCCATGTAAGTAAAGGTCGATGAATAGTTTCCGGATTTGGTGTACAGCAATCGGTGATGGTAGTCATGAAAGTCAGCTCTGAGAGTGAAGATGCAAAGCTTAACAACAATGATCATAATAACTGAATAAACTGATATGTCAAGTAAGGTTATATTCATACCAGTGTTATCAGAGCATAACACTTACCCTCCATACAATGGAAAGAAGTTTGAGGGACTCCATGGAAAATGGTAACCACAATGTGCTTCAACCGTCTCCAGAACTCTAACAACCATCCATAACCAGAGGGTTATCAAGTGAGGTCCAGTGATAGCAGGACCAACAATGGTGGCAAATCCGAGGAAAAGTATCTCCGCAGGATGCGCATATTCGGAAGTAAGTCCAAATGGTGTAGCATACCTTCATAATACAGTTAAACACTTGAGTCTTAAATAAAACCATGAATTTGTACCTACATAACAAACCAGATAACAAAAGCACAAACATAACACGCACTCGTGATGAACACTGTGAACATGCTTGTACAACCATTTTGTATGCAGTATCCTATGTCCCCAGTAGAAAACAAAATCCTCCAAAATGAAGTAAAAGATTATTTGAGCTACAACTACTTTCCTGCAAAAGCAAAACAGAATCTTGCTAAGTTTAATGGAACAATAGAAGTACAAACAAAAGCACTATCTATGATTGAACACAAGTCCATAAGAATAATCAGTGTTGTAAAGAAGGTGAAAGTACCAGGATGGAAGTGGAAGACTAGTACGCATGCCCATATATCTGAAGACAGGATATGAACAAAGCATAACAGGTAGATTGACACCAAAATGATACAGCAATAACTGAGCAATACATTTTTCTTGAGATGCAGGGCTGTTAATCTTGGCCTACATTAAATCAACCTTTAGCAAATGCCAATAATAGTAAATCTTACACACAGATAAAACTAAGCTTTATAGACACAAAAGCATAATAAAATGTTCAAAATTTTCATTTTTGGCAGAAAAGAAGCATCTATGAAGAATGGTAGGTTGAGAATAAAATCATAGCAATGTAAGACATGCAGATAAAGAATACATCATAAAAAAAAGATATATTATTTAATTACAATGGAAATATATATATATATATAGAGCAAAGGAAACCTATGAATGAGTAGTTATTGTGAAGAATAAAGTAGGCTTAAAAGAGAGGGAATAATAGATAAAGGGTAAAACCTGAATTTTGTATTTGGTGAGGCACGCTGATCTTTCAAGCCATATAAAAGGAAGGCCAGAGAAGAAGAATACAGTTTCATGTAGAAAGAAACTTCCCAAACATGCCAATTGAAAATCACTGAAATGTGTAATCAAGTACTGTACTACCCAAAAAAGAAACAAACTTTATATATTGGTTGTGTTCATCTTCAAAACTATGAAAAGAAGTAAACAACAATGATATGATTTGTGAATTATTGTCCAAATGAAATAAAAAGTGTGAAAAATGGATCTAAGGAAAAGTGATATTATTATTATTATTATTATTATGTAATAAAGGGAATGGAAGAAGAGAGAACCTGCCAAGAAGATTGAATGATTGAGGCCATAGCAGAAGAAGAAGAAGAAGAAGAAGTGAAAGAAGAAGAAGAAGAAGAAGAGAAATAATCTGAATCTCACCTCACCACACTATTATCTATCTTAATACCCATTTATCATTTTATACACACAAATATTTATAAACTATCTTATAACATATTTTTATTAATATTATCACATCAAAGTTATTTATCATCATTGCTTTAATCAAATCAAACATCACTAGATACACTCTCCACCTAGTACATGCATGTCTCCTTTCAATTCTACATTACATTTTACACCATAATCTATATCAATTTCAATTAATTCATTTCATTATATCTTATTATATTTTCTCAACAAACTAATCTACCTTATTCATTCAATCCATCTTTGGTTGCTGTCAATTGTAACATACCTAATCCACGCATTTGAAAAAGAATATAATCTTAGTATATTGTTTAATACCTCCAATGTGATATTAATTTATTATATAGTTTAATATTATAAATATTTTACTAGCTGTTGATGGAGGTGAAAGGGTGGGGTGACACCATAAAATGAAAAGGACTTCATTGTTTGTGTATTT